ACTAGCCTATAGAAGTTCTCTACTTCTATCTTTACTCATTTACCTATTACTAGGGTTCACCGAGTTACGTATTATCGTCCAGTGTCTCTATCCTCAAGGCAATGGTATTCAATCCTCTAACTTTTCTAATTACCGAGATGGTACCTGAACTTGACAGATCTTCCTCCAAACTTTCGAGGCTTGGTTCTCCCTCGTCCGACGTCATAATTTGATTTTGTCGATATGTTGACGATCCTCGGATTTCCATCTACTCAAACGTACACATATTTTGAAGAATGGTCGAATTTTGTTTTTATGGGTTTTCTTTTCCGGGGAATGCGCCAGGAAGGGTTGACGCCATTGCTTGTGGTGATGAGGTATGAAGAGGGCAAGTCGGCGGTTGGTTGCTGTTCGCTGCTTCTGGTTCGCGCTAGTGAGGTCTTGTGCGGGGGGGGGGGGGGGGGGGGGGGGGGGTTGTTTCTTGCGGCGGCTGCTGTGTGAGGAAATTTGGGGAAGGAATTGATCGTGGGGAGAAAGGGATTTGCTGCTGGGGAAGGGGAAAATAATCACAAGGGTCGCTCGGTCCTTTTTTCAATATCTATATATATACACACGAGTCAGACCTATATATATCTTAACATATATTATGGCCGTTGTGGAGAAAGTTTATGTCACGTAAGACAAAGAAAGCTCCACAATTTTCCATGTCATCTTAACATATATTATGGCCGTTGTGGAGAAAGTTTATGCCACGTAAGACAAAGAAAGCTCCACAATTTTCCATGTCATTTACGATTATAACATTTTAAGTTATTAATTACATTAAAATAAAACTAAATAAACATGTGTATCAATCATCATGACCATAATTTGAACCTATGACCTATGAGCTCAAACTATCATCATTTCAAGTGTTCAACCAGTAGGATAAAATATTTTTATGCTAATGATCACAACAAAACATGTATATCAATCACCATAACTAAGATTTAATCATGCACCCTAGAAGCTCAAACTATAATCATTTAAATTGTTTAACCAATATAATAAATCAATTTTATAGAATTAATCACAACAAGATTGATACTCATTTTATAAAAAATGGTACAACACATAAAATTCTATTTTTATTTAATGGGTGACTTCTGTACATTACACAATAACAACTAAAAATAACCTATTTTTATTTTGAGTTTATAATATGTTTGATAATATTTATTGTTTTAAAAAATTAATTAAAAAATCTGAAAAGCATGAATTTAGTTAGTACCAAATTATTAAAAAATGAAAACTAAAAAGCAAAGAATAACCTTCTATCGTATTCTAGAACACGAAAAAATTTATCATTTTTTTATACGAACTACTATAAATATGAGAACCAATACAGTTATGTTGCAATTTGTTAGAAAACAGCTACTATAAATATATGAGTTAACACATTCTTATCGCGCTGTAAGAGAAAAATATCAATTTTTTGTGCTCTTACTAGATTATTAAGATATAATAGCTGAAGTGAGAAATGATGGTTTACTAAGTCAAAAATTCATAATAACTTATTCATGTGCGATGTTCATATATTTTAAGATTAATGAAATATATCAACATAATTCAATTCAGTGATACACAACAATTTCATGTGTTTAAGAATATCACCGGACATCAATGGTCACCAAATTTTTTGTATCTTTTTCAAAATTGAATTATGGTTATATGACTTAAATATGTTTGTGCTCAATTAGTAAGAAGTTACGAGAAAAGTAATGTGCATATACATATATGTATTTGTCTTCTTTAGGGAATGAATTTTACATTTCTCGCATGTTTAATGATATCATTATCATTTCTTTTATGCGATTCCAATTTCCTTATATTTTCAAATTTTGTACGTCATTGAATTTTCTTCCACGCACAATTATAAAACACATTGTCTTTACTTTTTTCCTGATGTAATTATAATTTCTTTCTTTTCTCTTTTTATTGTTTGACATTAATTCTTTTCTTTTTCCTAGAGTGTACATTTGCAACTTTGAGTCATGTTCAGATGCATAGCATCTTAATTAAAAAAACAAATCTAAACGAATCTTAAGCTATTGGATGTATATAATGGTTGAGATGTAAATAACTATTTTAATCCTTACTTAATGTGACACCATAATACATATATTACTATTACTTATTTTAGTTACCAGTTATACTCGCCGGATAACCCGACTCATAAAATAATGATATAATTCTTCTCCGTTGCCTTTAAGAGTAGAGCTCGAAAGGACTTATTGTCCCTTCCATTGACCATGGCAAAATATGGAGTATTCAGTTTCCCGTCACCTACCTCTCAACCCTTACTCGCTTAACTTAACTGTCAAGATACATCTGATATGCTATATCTCATTCAGTCGAATAAACATCCATTCATCACCACATGCCATACCACATTCATCATCTCAAACTCAAAGAATTCATACATTAACAACATAAGTACCATCACCCAACCTCTTGATAACTCGCTGTATAAACATGTATGCATCAAGTATCACATCATATCGACTTCACCATTTAACCTCATCCTAACATAGTGAAACATCACACCATCTAATGGTAAATCATTGTCTAAAACACCATAGCAAACCATCACATAATCATCGACACGCACATTTCATATATCACGTCATAGGAAGTCATCACTTAACCATATCATAAGTAATCTTTATAGAAGGATTTAATGACATGCATGGTTAGGTTGATTAATTTTTTTTTTTTTTACTTCTTAATTTTCCAAGTCATACACTCCCCGGGTAGTACATTAGATGTCATGTATACCACTGTGGATCTTACCTAGACTGGTGTCATGTGAATCCACTACGGGATCATACCCTAACCGATATCTTGTATAACAGAATGGGACGTACAAGGACCAGTGTCCTGTAAAACCAACGCAGGATCATACCCTGACCAATGTCCTGTAAATTCATCTATTGTACTAATTTCACAACAGGGCGCCTTTATGTTTGTATTAAGTTATCACACAATTCCAATTACAAATCAGTCACACATTTAATATTGGATGATAATGTGAAGTGACGAAAAAGTGTCTCTATAACTAACATTTAGATTTAATATCATTCATAAAATGTTGAAGGTAATATAGAAGCATAGAAAGTTGGTTGTACTATAATATTATGGTGGAAAAGGCTAGCGTACACTCGAGGTGCAATATCTATTAGTTGCACTTTAATATATTTTGGGGTTAATATATTTGTATGGCTTGAACTTTGCACATAATAAACATCCTGACCAATCTTTTCGATCTATAACATCCTGGTTCAAACTATACATCAAAGTAATGAAATCGGTCAACGTGTCATGTCACTGCCAAGTGAGCAACTTTAACTTATTTTTTTTTATATTTTCCATCTATTACCATTTTTATTTTCCATTTTGAACCAAAAGAAGAAAAAAATTAATTTCATTTTGAACCAAGAAAAAGAAAATGGTAATAGGTGGAAAATATTAAAAAATTTTAGTGAAAGTTGCTGACTTGGCAGTAACTGCGCGTTTACCATTAGTCAACGCGTTTGACCATCCAATATAACGGTCAAACATCGGGTTTGGCCAATTTCGTTAATTTGATGTATAGTTTGGGTCAGGAAGTTATAGATCGAAAAGATTGGCCAGGATGTTTATTATGTGCAAAGTTCAGGTCATACAAATATATTAACCCTATATTTTGACAAATAACAATCATTGGTTATTATTTTTGTATTAAATGAATCTTACAATTTGGATTGAGAATTAGAGACTGGGATTCACCCATTAGAGACTATGATATAGTATCATGTCCCAAACTCCGTTAATTCATGGTCTAAATAGCAAAACTCAATATGAGTACGGTAAGGTGGCGTACGCAAGCTTAAACCATGTACAACTTATAAAGTTGAAAATTGCTGGTCCAATCAAAGATTAGATGGTATGAATACTATGTTCCAAGCAGTGATGAGGTTACAACGTTGTTTGACATTATTGTTGATCATGATTAAAACCTAGAGTAAATGTAGCACCCCTCGTATCTTTCTTTTTTTTTATATTCAAAGCGCCCCTCATATCTGATGAAACACGTATAATAGATAACAATAATAAATAAATATGAAAAATTAGGAGTCCGATACCATTGGAAAAATGACATACAATGGAAGTAAATGTACAAACAAATTAAACTTGCCGTCCATAGGGCGGACACAAAACTAGTATATATATATGCCAAATCCATTAGTAGAATTGGAGTATACAAAACTAGTATATATATAGTTTGGGCCATGATACTATACCATAACCTCTAATGGGTGAACCCCAGTCCCTAATTCTCTAACTCAAGCCACAAGATTCATTTAATTAAAAAAATAATGACCGACGGTTCTGATTCAACAAAATACATTAAAGTGCAAAAATCAAGTGTGAACACAGGCGTACAACGTACGACTGACGTACGCTAGCCTTTGTCACATATTCATTAGTAGAATTGGAGTATAAAGTTCTACATAACCGTGAGTTTTACATAGGATCATGACTCATGAGTAATCGTCCTCCCTGAACCCAACTATACCAACCCCATCACCATCAGAGATATGAGGTTATAACTCGATACAGCCTGAAACTTAGGTCGGCGTGAAAATGAAGAAAATTCACACAGGTTTGTAAGGGCATTTTAAGTAGGAATGAAAAAAATATTCGGTAACCGTGGATATTCGCCCGAATCCAACCTAATCGGGTTGGGTAAAACTCGAACTCGAAAGACTTTTAGTAGGTATGTGTAAAACTCGAACCTGAATATTGCGAGTAATGGGTGGGCATGGTTTTCTCACTATCCAATCCAAACCCGTCCGATTATACACATGCATATGTATTTTGTCTAAAAATAATCATTTCTCTAGCATATTTTATATATAGCATATAAATATAATATTTTCATGAATTTGTGTTGTTTTAATTAATTTTACTTTTCCTCTTAAGTAATGTGAATATACGTGTAAATGTTAACATATTGATTGGACTTTTAAAGAGAAATTATTACCCATGAATAACCATGGATACCCGAAACTCGAACGGATATGGGTATGATTTTGATTTTGATTTTCTACCCATTTTCTTGTGTATGGGTAAAATCCAAACTACATTGGGTAGGATAACAAATATGCACTATCTCCCAACCCGACCCATTGCTATCCCTAATTTTAAGCAAGAAAGAAATAGAGGACAATCATACTACTCAATAACCTTCTATGTGCGCGTTCACCATGTAAGAGAGGAACCCTATATGTCATTGGTTTGAGTTATACTGTATGACTATTAGAGTGACAATAAGAGAGGTAGGGCTGGCAGTTCGGTTTCCGGTTAGCGGATAACCGTCGGTTACAACCGAACCGATCGGTTTTCGGCTAACCAAAAACCGAGACTAAAATTACTTCGGTCGGTGGACGGAGGAGTTTAAAAAGCTTTGGATAAACGAGTAACCAACCATTATTAACCGCGGTTATCCGAAAAAAATCAAACCAAGCCGACCAACCCTCATATATTGCCCTCCCTGAAAATAAAATGACATATAAAACCCATAACCCCAATCTGAAACCCTATAATCCCCTCATCAGACCCTCATCCTCACGAGTCACGGCCGCCGCCCAGCTCCCTTCCTTGTCGCTTCACGGCCGCCGCCTTCCTCTGTTCCTCGCCGCCATGTAGATCCTTCCTCGTCGCGTCGCACCCGTCCAGATCCCTTCCTCGCCGCTGCCCAGATCTCGTCCTCATCGCGTCGCCTCACGCAGCCGCCTCCATCCTTCCTCTTTCCCGTCCATCCATCGTCGCCGTCGCCGTCCCCGAGCAGACGAACTGCGTCCATCGGTCGTCCCCGAGCAAAAGGAAAAGAAAAGTGAGAGAGGAGAGAAGAATGGTCTTGGAGATGGAGGGTCCCCGAGCAAAAGGAAAAGAAAAGTGAGAGAGGAGAGAAGAAGGGTCTTGGAGATGGAGGGTAAGGCGGTTAGCAGAGGCAAGGGAGAGAGAGGAGAGAAGAAAAGACGTTTTCATTTTTGGTGAGGAGAGAAGAAGAAGATAAGGACGAAAATGTGTGGTGGTTGTTTTCTTGAGATTCCAGACCCAGAGCATTTTATTGACTCAATCACAAATCTGTATGCAGTAAAGAAAGCAAGTGAGGCAGGCTGACGATTCCATTCGAAGTAACGTAAGAGGATTTTTGATGTTGCACCATCGTCAACTCTTCCCGGGATCCTGGGTTTTTCGAGAAAAGGTCCCATCCTTCAAGATCATGATTGGGTCGACTCGACCAGGCCAGATCATGAATGAATAGAAAATCGAAAACGTACATAGCAGTTCCAGCTGAAATACTTGGAATAATTCTACCACTTCTACTAGGAGTAGCCTTTTTAGTGCTAGCTGAACGTAAAGTAATGACTTTTGTGCAACGTCGAAAGGGTCCTGATGTAGTGGTTTTTTATTTAATTTTTTGTATTTAATTCGGCTAACCGTGGTTATAACCGATAACCGACCGATCGATTAGGAGGTGACCGTGTGAAACACGTCAGTCGGTAGTGCTAGGGGGTCGCTCGGTTTAGTTTTCGGTTAAACCGAAACCGACCAACTGACAGCCCTAAAGAGAGGAACCCTATATGTCATTGGTTTGAGTTATACTGTATGACTATTAGAGTGACAAAACGGCCATTACAATCTTTTAGATGTCTCAAGTCATCATATTATCGTACTATTACTATCTACTGTCTGCAATACACAGTCTATTAAAATCTTCTTCCTGACAAAATCATAATCCTAACTAACTTTGCTACATACTATTGGAGCTTCGTACGTGGTTTGTTTCATGGCTGCATCAGAGGATACCCCTAACCCGCCTCCCCGCTGTGTTGATTGTGATTTTGTCCACTGCAGCTAAACAAACCACGAACTACCCTGAGATCAGGCCAGTGTGCAGTTGCCTATAATAAGTCCTGTAACAAGAACTAGGGAGCTCTGGACCAGGGAACAGTTGATCAGTGAGGGCCAACTGGAATTGGATTTATCAACTCTCCGCTCCCTTCGCGTTATGCTTGTTCTTCTGGATATCTCCACCGTTGACAATCCCGTGAAATTGGATCGGCAAGGGAATCCCAGATAGCCCATCGTTAGAGAGAACACGAGCTATTGCATTCATAGAGACTTCAAGAGCAGGTGGAAGCGCCTTTCGGGGATGAGTTACCTGGAACAACCACACAAACCAGATCAAAGTTAAAAGAAATTAGTGGAAGAAACAGAACCTCATCTCTACACCTAACAACCAATCCAGTTCATACTGAAGAATTACTAACTCTGAATAAGATTGCAGCAGATAACCGCTCTCTCAAGCAGTAAATCTGAGCAACATCGATGGCTGACGATCGGAAAAGAAGCCACCTGTCCATAACAACAATCACAGAATTATCAGGAGCAGACATGAGTTTCTTGCCATTATACTCATCATCAATTTCTATTGCATCTTCAACGTCACTATCCGTGTCAGCAACATCACTTCCTTCTTTATCGTCATAGCCATCGACATCGTCATTTGCAGGAGCAACTGCAATTTCTGTAGCAAGGAGGAGAAGGGAGAGTGGACCAACAACAGTAAAGTTCCTTATATGCGTGCCACCATCTCCACGAGTCACCTCATCATATATTACCAGGGGGCAGTCCTCGCTTCTTTTAGTTGATAATCGGAAATTAAGAGAATGAGGATGCAACCGAACTTTAGCACCATCTGTGGTCTGTATGACACCACGTTTACCATTTTTAGGCGGCAAGAATTTCCCAACATTCGGATACACAGTAGCCACAAGAACAGCACGAATTATGCCAGGATCATGCGCATTCGTGCTGCATCTTGAGACATCTTGTGGTACAACGCCATTACGAATAAGCTCCCCTTGGAGATGCTTACGCATACCATGCAGCATGTTCATGGTGCCAGGGGACACATAATAATCAGAACAAAACCTTGCTGCTTGCCCTCTTTCCTTAGCATTCCTCCAGCAATCATAAGCTGCTACCACCGCTAGCTGATCGCTGTATCCACCATATATAGAAGCAAGCTCGAGCCTACGAGCATTTGCTCTTTTCTTCTCATCCAGTGATATAGGGAGTGTAAACGGGTCTTTATAGTCAGCAGCACATGCTATAGTCAAAGCAGGCTCAAGGCAATTCATCAAGACAGCAAAGAAGAGCATTCTGCTGATTAACGGATGAACAGGTAAGCAGCCCAGCTTTTTCCCGAGTTCAGTCAACTGCTCATCAGCTGATAAAGCACCAATCTCTTCAAGAACACCAATTGCATTGCTGATGGACTCAGAAATCGGCGGATCCAGAGTCTTCTGCAGAAAATCCTGTATCTTGCAATTGGGATCCAATAGCTTCACCTGCAATTCAGAACAATAAATAGATCTTATTTTAGTAACTCTCCCTTTCTACAGCAATTCACCAGAAAATAGATGCAGAAGGCTAAATGTTATAGTGTTTAACATATTTACCTGCAGACAGAGCTCTTCAATTGGTATTCTCCTGATTTCAGGAACATGAAAGTCAGGTAGAGAAGCTGCTCGGACTGTTGAATAAAGATGGTAACATATTCCAGGCTGACAGCGGCCTGCACGTCCCTCCCTTTGCTTTGCACTTGCCTTCGATATCCATGAAGTTTGAAGAGTGGACACATTGTTATAAGGATCATAGCTTTTTTCTTTCATTCGCCCACTGTCTATGACATAGACAACATCATCAATAGTAATGGAACTTTCTGCTATGTTAGTTGAAAGGACTATTTTGCGGCAACCTCGAGGGGGGCGATTAAAAACCTTCTTTTGCTCACCCGGTGGAACCATAGAATGAAGCGAGATTATCAAAAACCTAGATGTATCTGCAAAGAAAGAGTTCGCATGTAACCTCTCTCTGGTTTTATTTATATCCTCCCATCCTGGAAGGAAGACAATTATAGCACCTTCTGTAGAGTCCTTGCATATTTCCTTTAGTAGGTGCTCTATAAGAATAACATCAACAAGATCATGATTGACTGTTGTGAGATATTTATCAAGTAAATTTTGTTGTTGCGTGGGGTCAGACAGGGCCCTTCTGACATGACCTTTTACTACTTGAGCAGTTTCATGCTGGTTTTCCCTCTCAGCTAATGCCAATGCCGTCATACCATCATTGTCCTTCAAATGGCAGTCGGCACCAAAAGAGAGGAGCAAGCAAACATCCCCCACTCTACCCTTCCCAGCAAAGACCATCAATGGGGTTAACCCAGTCAAGGAATGCTGATAGTTATAAATTTTTGGGTTCCCTTCAGAGGACACCAAATCCATGAGAAGATCAAACTCATCATTTGACCAAGCCAGATTAATAGCTTCATCCAAAGCAGCAGTATCTTCCTCAGTCAGTTCAGAGCACCCAGTGGAGGATAGAATAGCAGAATCAAGATGATTGTCATTTGAAGATTTCAGGATAGAAAAAATATCAAGATGATTGTCACTTGAAGATTTCAGGATAGAAAGTACATCCTCCAAATAGAAAGTTCTGACCTACAAGAGAGGAAGAAAGACAATATAACAAACCATCATATAAGTTCAATGAAATGGCATTAATCGAAGTGGGAGAATTTTTACAGGATAAGTGAAACCAGGAACACGGATAACTGGGCAGCCGCCAAAATACTGTGCAAATCTTTCCGCATCTAGAGTAGCACTCATCAGTATCTGCCAAGCAAATTTCAGGGTAGAAGCCGTTAATAGGTTCCAAAACGCTAAAGCTCAAATACAGAAGAATTACACTTGAATGTAGCTGCATTATCTGAACTAACCAGTCGGAGGTGAGGATATAAAGGAAGCATGTCTCTGCAAGCAAACATTAAGTATCAATAAATAGAAAATCATAAAAATAGAAGACTCACATATTAGAAATGGTTCAGGAAATAATTAGAAAATGTAAGAAAATGCTAACCCAAGCAAACTAGCATACTTGTTAAGAACAATAATCAAGAACCAACAGAAATGTCCATCACAATGGAAAACTATCTAGATGTACCTGATAACCGTCAGCATGAAATCTGAATAGCGATCCCGCTCATGGATTTCATCCTACATAGTGCAAATCTCATCATCAGAAGGCCAGGCTTTGACAACTGGCAGTATGTTAATGTATGCACATGATGGTTAAATCTGGGATCGCTTGAGAATTACAAAGGTTTAGAAAAAATGCAAACAAGTCCATTGACAAAGTGGGGGTTCTTTCCATCTAGTTTAATCAAATAGCATTTCAAGGACATGTTGTAAGAGGTCAACTGCCGACTTAGGTTACACAGTATCAACATTTTTCATTTTCTTCGTTACGAAACCAGAGCTAATTCTTCCACGAATCCAACTAATCACATCCATTATGTTTCTCTCTCAGCACATCTCATCTTTTCCTATCTGAAAGTGTTTGAGAAAGGATAATCACCACAAGCCATAAGGGATCACAAGCACTTGCAGAAAAAAAAAAAGCTACAGGATCCAACTTGCTTGAATTTAGTGCCGAGGTAAACTAAAACAAAATCAAGGACCTTGACAGGAGTAAACTAAAATATTAGCTAACCAAACAAATTGCAAACCACCTTGACAAATGGGAACTGCTTATTGAGTAAAATACAAACGAAAACATGAACCGTTAGCTCAAAGAAAGGACCTTGAAAGGAATCAAATACAAAAGAAAACAGGAACATAAGGGCAGATAAATTGATAGTGAGGGAGTACCACTATAATGTGAGTTATGCCAGACATTTCTACATCATGCTTGCTCGAAGACTTGGATAAACTAGTGCCACTGGAAACAAGCACCCTAAGCAAAACTCCATTTGTGCAAAACACAATTGATGAGTGCCTGCCTCCCTTACTTTCCAACCGAATCTAGTACAATAAAGTCGTGAGTCAGAAATCAAATCAGTAGAAATTGAATGCCTAGAAATTAGAAAAAGAAGCGAAGATTACGTTGAACAGTTGTTACAAGTGAGAAACAAAGTGATGGGAGAAGAGAGTGACTACAGATTAACCAAACCCAAAAAAAAAAAAATGATCGACAACAAGCAGTTGAAACTATTTGAAAACGAAGGTAAGGTAAAACACAGCTTGTGGTTATATTATCAAGAATGATTAATGTAAAGTTTACACTACTCGCCACATGATATATGAAACTTGCCTTGTATCCAACATCATCCCCAGTAATCTGGCCCCTTTCATGAGAGATTCTATCAGCAACTAAAAAAACCAAAAAGAGCATATTTGGTTTGAGTTTTACAAAAGGTGGAACAACTGGCATTTGCTAGGGTAACAAGATAGAATTCCACCTGACATTGCAGAGATACGCCGAGGTTGTGTGCATACTATTTTGCACACCTCCCCTCTGCTCCAGAGATGATCCAACAAAAATTGTGGGACCTTCAAATGCGAAAAAAATAAATCAGAAATAAGCTAAAGTGATACTCAATAACATAGTTTATGAATTTTTAGATAAATTAACAGTTTCCGTCTGGATCATTCAACAGGAAAAAAGATATATCATTCAGCTCAGACCTATGTCCAAAATTAAATGATGCAAAGCAGGAGATGGCACCTGAGTAGTTTTCCCGCAACCAGTCTCGCCAGATATGAGAACAACCTATTAAAATACAGAAACAAGACCAACGATCAACGTATAGCCCCATCAAACTCCGTGATACCGACATTTGTACACATTACTTGGATAATAGCATATCAAGGATGTACATTAACTATAATCTGACATAGGCCAACTCAAAAGAAAAAAAGGAGGTGAAGACATAATTCACATAGACAGTGCATGATTTAGTGGTAGTATATCTATACCTGGTTAGAATCCACAGTAGATCTGATGACTTCGCTAAAGGATGCAATAGGGAGCTTAGACCTTGATTCAAAAGTCTGCACAAACAGCAGAACCTTATTGTCATTCTTCTGTTGCATAAATTACTTGCAAAAAATTTAAGCCTTAGTCATAAGCAATAGAATCAGCAAAAGTTTCAACTGCCAGGGGCCTCAGTACCTGTCTGAAACGAGGATCCTTTTTCACCATTGAACTGAGCAAGTTAAGCTTTTTTCTTATCTCATCTTTGCTTAATAAGGGCAAAGAGAACATTGAATCTTTCCCTCTTTTCCTTTCTTGTTTACCCCTATTGTCCTGAATCAATCTAGTACCTAGTTCTTCATCTTCAGGAGGGTAGCGTGAAAATAAATCCTGTAAGATCATTTGTGATCCTTCTGAAAAAGCCAAACAGCTTAGATTTTCATTCTTTCCTTTTTTCTTTTCCTTCTTTGGATTCTTGGAAACAGAAACACAGCGCTCATTTCCTTTCCTGCAGGAAAGTTCAAGCTTGTGAGCAACAATTCCAATACAATAGTTCCTCTGCAATAGACTCTACTTATTCACGGGACCTTGAAAAATGGTGTAAAAGATAAACTACAAAATGAACCAAATTGTTAAAATGTCAAGAAGTTCTCATGCCAACCAAACTAAACAAGGAAACAGAAACGTAATAGTCATAGAACGCACCCTTTACTCTTGGATTTCAATCCCAACTTCCTTGAAATCATGTGCACCAGAGCACGCTCTGTGTCTGATAGGCCAGCTTCAAAAGTGAGAACTGCAAGCAGTATTCAAGAAAACTTCAAGCGTTAACTACTGTAACGGCTACTTGAAGGGAACTCAATGACAGAACCAACGATTTCATGCAGAGCTAGCACTCATCGGACCATTCCCCTTTCTCCGGTTAGGAAATTAGGATGGAATATAATTGACTAATATTGTATCATTAATACTGCATGGTAATGAAATGAAAAGGCACTTATGCCAGCCCGCACCAGAATTCTGAAGCTTTATGGGACCTTTCAGAGAGCTAACCGATACATAAAACAAAGCCATTCTCATTTCCCTCTAACAATCGCTGACGTGATCGTAAACTTAAAAATGACCAACCGCCAGATTGCAAAAGAGGAAAGTTAAACCTACAGAACACCCACTCATAGAGAAAACAAAACTTTGAAATTTCAAAGCTAAAAAGAACAGGAAATGCGAGAAAAAGGTAGAAATTTAGTCTCTGAAAATCAAACCTTGATCTTCTGAAGCACGAAATCGTCTTAGCATATCTCCAATTCGAATACGGGTGGGTTCACTAACTCCGGACTGGGTGCCCTTGCGTTTCTTCTTCACCATTATTACGGCTTTTTCCGATAAATTAGAGTAACCACAGACTATTAACGAGGCCCTCCGTTTAGCTTTGATGAACCGTCCCCGTGGTGAGACCGTACCGCCGGCGGGATGAGAGGTTCTCTACTTTTTCTTCGTCGCGTCGACGACGTAAGAAGGTGAAGGCCCCTCTGCTTCTTATTCTTCTGATTATGCTTATGCGTTTTTTGTGCTTAACCAGCGCTGTTGTACCCTTGCTTCCCTTGTTAGGGCAATATCTCGGTTGTTAAATACGGCGGCCTGTTGACGCCTCTCTTGCTCCGCTTTTCGTTTGGGTTTCTCTTTGCCTTACAGTCTGCACTAGTTATGGCCCGTTTGATTCGGCTACTTGGGCTGTGACTTGCTTTGGACCGAATTAGATATCAGAGGAAACTCTTCCTTCCCTTTCTATACCCGGCCATTTGGCCGGAGGAAAGTGAGGTATGAAATTTGATAATGTAATGGGGTGTATAGCTTATTGTTATATAGTTTTTTGGGAAAACACGTGATAAAAATAGTGAAGTTTAGCAGGAAAGAGACATAAATGATGTAATAAATCAAAAATCGGCCTTATGAACCAAAATCAAGTACCTGTTACCTTGTGAAACAATATTGTTTCTGGTAATTTGATGAGGTGGAGTAATTTTTATAGAAACCGAATTCCAGAAAATCGAATAAAAAATCGCCTATCCCGTTAGTTTTCGGGAAATGAGCATCTCACAATCGTTGCTAGCTTTTACTCGACCCGTTGGCCGATTAATTGGTTTATAAAATTTTCATCTTGTCGTCATTATGCTTTCTGGTTTTTTTATGGCCATGATAAAATCTAAGGAAATCAATAACGAACAACACGATTTGGGATAGGAACCGTCTTTGTCGTATCCCTAGAAAATAGCGGTAAACACGGACTCACCTACCATGTGATTATAAATTAGACTTGATCAAAACGGGCCAAAACTTGAAATGCAGCCTATTTGACCGACCCATGCCAAATTCTAATTATTCTTTACTTTTAAACTTTCTATTTAAAAATAAAAAAATAGTGAAAGAAAAGAGATGACTGCAATTTGCCATTTGCACATCACTTATTCGGGAATAAAACCATAGAAATTCAAAAGGAACTGAAAATGTTAGGATCGTTTTAATGTTTAAAATAACCAAATAGATTTTTCTGTTTAGTTTTTTACTAACAAATACCACACGATTCCCTATAAAATACACTATAATTTGATCATTATGATATCAAATAATTATGTAATATATTTGAAATGATAAAAATTGGACTAATTGGGTTGGTCGAGGTTGAACCATTGAATAACTTTAAAATACATTATATTTTAGCCACTAAGATATAAAATAATAGCATAATATATATTATGCCAGAGAAAATAGCTTGTTTTAGAATGTCAAACCAATCATGTTCATTTGTTTTACCTGATGGTCAAATCCCGTGTAGGTCAGGCCAATTCAACTCTTTTATTTTATGGTTAGCGGTTAGCCCATTAGATACCATGCATTAGTTTATTGTTAAATTTTTTATTTTTAGCAATAAAAAGAAGTATTGTTTTTGCCTTTTCATATATATTATATCACCACGGAGAAATAAAAAGGCCTAATGAAAAAAATTGACACTCTTGAAGCCGTTTAAATCCGCATGTTCCACAGAGGAAAGAGGAAAAAATTGACACTCCATATTTTATCATTCCTACAAACGCTCCTGGAGCAGGGAATTTGAAATGGGGTAAGGGTTTTTTCCTCCCTGCTATTATATGTTTTTAATTTAAAAAGATACAACAAATGTACTTAGTGTGATTGGTTATGATCCTTACTTTTTCTTAATGGTCGTGGTTCGAATCCCACTAGGTGTCTTTTTAATGAATAAAAAAAAGTAATTGTGAAGACCAAAATGTCCTTCCTACTTTCACTCTCGTTGCAGGAAATTTGAAATGGGGCTCCCGTTTTTTCCTTCGATGTATTATATTATGTGTAGACTACGGCATAGGCCTGGCAATGCTAGAAAACCCCTACACGAACCTCTGCTAATACCCAACTAATCCAAGGAAACTCTGGTGGAGCCCAGTTCGTCACAACCTCTATCTTCTTGGGGTCCACCTCTACTCCTCGTCCAAACACCATATGTTTCCAAGAACATGATCTCGTCTAGCCAAACTCACACTTGGTGAGCTTAGCCTACAATTCCTCCTCCGTCAATCTTTGCAGCACCAATCTCAAGTGCACCTCATGCTCCATCTCACTCCTAGAGTAAATGAGAATATCATTGATGAACACAATGAAAACTCATCTAGATACTCATGAAGGACCCGGTTCATCAAGGCCATTAAAGCTATTGGGGCATTGGTCAGCACAAATGGCATGAGTAGAAACTCGTAGTGACCATATCGGGTGCTGAAGGTAGGGGTAGGCAACGGAACGTGTACCCAATACCATTTGGAGAGGATACTCCATCCCATGTCCCAAACCCGTACGGGTTAACGGGTACCCATAACCCGTACGCGATGGATAACGGGTACCGCGGGTAATCCGTAAATACCTAAAATGACAAATGATAGTTTTTGCAAAATAATTAATAATCAGCAAAATGATTAATTCATAAGGGATTCTCTGTCTTAAATATTATTAGCTCACACATATGCATGTGCTGCTTAATTCAACTACGCATGTCTTAAGCAATAGACATCATTAGCTAACACTAGACAAGAGGGAGGAGTCACTCTGTGTGCTAAAGCTAATTATAGTTTTTGCCGAGTCCAATGGTCATGGTCCGTGTTGAAGAAGAAACCATGTCAAGAAGCAGCATTGACTTTAAAATCAAGAGGTGAAAACTTGTCTTCATCTTCAACTGGGTCGAGTCATATTAACAGGAGGACCAATAAAAGTAGCAAAGTAGATGATCCAGAATGGGGCCACTAGAATTGGGCTCGAGTTGGGCAGTTGGGTTGAGGTTGGGGGAAATGGGATGGGTGTATTTTATAAATTTTTTTGCTAACGGTATTACGGGTACCCGTATTACCCAAACGCGTATTAACGGGTAACCCGTGGGTAGACGTTGTAGAAATCATTAAACCCAAGTCCCATCCCATTAAAAAAAATGGGTATTTGGGTACCCGTGACCCTCAAAAAACGGGACGGGTATGGGTATACCCAAATACCCGTTTCCCGTTGCCCACCCCTAGCTGAAGGTCGTCTTAGGAATGGAGCCATCTTCTACTCTCAACTAGTGATACCCGGACCTCGGGTCAATCTTTGAGAACATCCTTGCTCGCTACAACTGATCAAAGAGATCGTCAATCCTTGGCAGAGGATAACGATTCTTGATGGTTGCCTTATTCATATTCTTGTAGTCAGTGAACAACCTCATGGTATCATCCTTGTTCTTCATAAACAACACTGGCGCTCCCCTGGGCAACATGTTAGGGCGAATGAAACCCTTCTCTAATAGCTCCTACAACTGCTCTTTCCACTCCTTCAGCTCCACCGGCTCCATGCAATAAGGAGGGATGGATATGGGAGTCGTGCCCGGGACTACCTCGATATCAAACTCCACATCTCTCTGTGGTGGCAACCCATGGAGATCCTCTGGGAATACTTCTGGATAATTCCTCACTGTAGGTATATCCTCTAGCTTCCTATCTTGCACCGCTTTGACATGGCACAAGTAGGCTTCACCCCCTTCTTAGTCCTTGAGAAAGCCTTCACTGTGGAGATTAAGCCTCCCAGAATCAGCTTCTTAGTCCTCTTGAACAATGTTGTGCCCTTACCCTCAATCTGGATGTTGACTTCCCTTTTATAGCAATCCACCATCTCTCAGTTCTTTGACGGTCAATCCATGCCCAAGATGACATCAAACTCATCAAAGGGTAGCAAAATCAAGCTTGCCTCAAAATCATACCCTGCTACTGTAACGGGGCAGCCACGTATGACATAATCTACTATCAACGTATCTACTGCTGAGGTGCTCACCTCTTGGCTCTGACCTAACTTCACATGAGGTAACCTAAGGTTCTCGCAAACTTGGTGGAAACAAAAGAATGTGTGGAACCGGAATCAATGAGCACAAAAGCTAGATGATTATAAAGGCAAATCATACCAGTCACCACCTTCGGTGCTCCCTCTACCACATCTCCCCTCACAGAGAAGAGTCTTAGTTGTCCCCCTGCTGAAGGCCTTTGGCCTTTGTCTCGATCATTGCAGTCGAATCGTCCAACATTTCCTTCATGGATGTGGAAGGAATGGTTTGGTTGGTCGCTAAACTAATGACCCGTGTGAGTCATGCATCCTCCGCCACGAACAAACTGCTCAGACTGAGCCCTTCCTTGCCCCAACCTCCTAGGGCACTCCTTGGCAAAATGATTGGGATCATTGCAATGAAAGCAGTCTGGCCTGCCTGGATTGAACCAAACTGACTCTAAACACCTCCATAGCTAGCTGAACCACTCAGCCTCCTCTTGGTCAGACTGGGCCCCTCCTATAGGCCACCAGCTTGGCCTCCCCGCCGCATTTGCTCCTCATAGATACTCTTGTCCACCATCTCCAGCTGGAGAGCTTCCTAGTAAACCTCCACTCGTCTAGTGAAGCCATGCACACTCAAGTCCTACCCAAGACCAGGCCTAGGTTCTCCAGGTAGTGGTTAAGCTGAATTCTAACATCTTAAAACTACGGACCTCCATAGGCAAGCGGCTTTTCAAAACTCGTGTATTTAGCCAATTCTCCCTTTCCTCACATTCCCACTTCTAACTGATCATTAGGAACTCTCTCTGTGTGGCGCTCCGATAAGCCTCTCTCACGTAGTGGCCTCAGAACATCTCCACAAACTTGGTCCAGGCTATGGTCGGTGGGTCCGCCTAACCGGCAAGTTGAGCGGTCCACCAATCATAAGCAGCTCCATGTAGCAGCGACACTGTCAATAGTACATGGTCCTCATCATCTACCCTCATCTCCTACAGAGTACGGGTGACCTTTGAGAGCCA